ATCGGTACCAATGGATGGCTGGGATGGGATCACCAAGGCGTTGGTGTCTTCATCCGTGACATCGGTGGATGGGGAGCGCCGAATCGGCTGCGGCGAATCTAGCATGACGAACCGCCGTATGGATACGCCTTCAACGGGCATGAGGGGTTACCAAGATGATAAGACTGTGCGTGAGGTGAATACCATTTTCGCATCGAAGTATTACGAATAAAAATTCATCTATTGTAACCTCAGTTGCCCGAGGTTATTAATTTATCTCTTTTTCTGTGTAGTGGCTTTATTACTGCTTCCTTTTATCATCTTTTTCCTTTTGATGGGTTCAGTTGATAAGATGAAGGGCCTAGTTAGGGTGTATGGACGTGTTATGCACACTAATAGTACTTTCTCAAATCTCCTCTTTATTTTTGTGGCTTGGTAAGTCTTCTGGGATTTCAGTTAATGAGCTATCTTTTGATTCGTGAAATATCCCTGCTTTTCATAAGGAAAAAGTGAAAATGGAGGAGTAAAAAACACTTCTTGCATGTGGTTCATACAAACTGTACTATTTATTGTGTTATTTATTTGGCATGCTTCACGTGACTCTACAGACATATAACTAATGCCTTTTTGATGTAATAAATTCTACTGAACACCTTCCTTCACATACCTGTCATTGCTTGGAAAGATATTTTAGGTGTTTTTCTATTTTATAAGTTAAATATTTATTTTAATAGTGCACATTTATAGCAGTACATATATTAATTATTAATATTATTACCAGGCATATTCAAAAGTGGAAGTAGGAAAAGATCTATAACAATTTTTCACAGAAAAAACTATAAAAATGTCCGGAGGAGGGTTTCCTGTTAATCCCCGTCTCATTAAAGCTCAGTATGCTGTGCGCGGCCTTGTTCCATCTCGTGCAAAAATGATCCAAAAAGAAATCGATGAGGGATCTACAAAGTACCCTTTCTCGGAGTTGATTTGGTGTAATATTGGCAACCCACAGGCGGTAAAACAGAAACCTATCACCTTCCATCGTCAGGTGATGTCGTTATTTGATGCACCGTTTCTCTTGGATATGCCGGAGATATTGGCACACTACCCAACAGACGTCGTCGAGCGCGCGAAGTATTATTTGGAGGATGCCAATGGCGTCACTGGCGCGTATACCGACTCATTGGGGTATACCTTCGCCCGCAAAGCGGTGGCGGAGTATATTAACAAGCGGGACCACCACATCCAGCCTGAGGTCACCTACGATGATATTGTTTTGACGGATGGGGCGAGCAGTGGGCTGCGCTTCATCCTGGAGGTGATGATGTCCGGATCGCGTGACGGGACGATGACACCGATCCCACAGTATCCACTCTATACGGCCTTGTTGGCCCTACTCGACGCCCAATGCATCCCGTATTACCTCAGGGAAGAGGATAACTGGTCCGTCAGGATAGAGGAACTTAAGGAGTCCTACAACAAATCGATTTCCGAGGGCGTCACGCCACGGGTATTTGTGTGTATTAATCCTAACAACCCGACTGGCAACCTGCTGAGCCGTAATATATTAGAGGAGATGGTCAAATTCTGCCATGACCGATCGCTGCTGCTCTTGGCGGATGAGGTCTACCAGTTAAATATTCACTCCGATGGGTTGAATTTTGTAAGCTTCCGCGAGGTGGTGTTGTCGATGCCGGAGCCGTACAGGTCAGGGACGATGTTGGTATCCATGAATTCCGCCTCGAAAGGGATCTTGGGTGAGTGTGGGCGCCGTGGGGGATACCTGGATTTGTTGAACATCCCGCGGGAAGTACGTGAGCAGTTGATAAAGCTGTGTTCGATGAACCTCTGCTCCAATGTAAATGGGCAGTTGATGATTGCCGTTATGTGCACCCCCCCGCAGGAGGGCGACCCGAGCTACGAACTCTATGCTTCCGAATACCAGGCAGTTGTGGATGGCCACCGCATCCGCGCGAGTGCGCTGGCAAAAGAACTAAACACCATTCCCGGAATTTCATCCCAGAGCGTGATGGCCGCGATGTACGCATTTCCAACCATCAAGCTCCCCGCGAAGTGGGTGGAGGTCAAGATGGCGCAGCAAGGAAAAGAGGGAGGCACTCTCAAGTTAGACGAGTGTTGGGCGCTGGAGTTGCTGGAGAAAACCGGAATTGTGGTGGTCCCGGGGTCTGGATTTGAACAGGTGCCCGGAACCCTTCACTTCCGAACGACAATTTTGCCCCCATCTGATCAAATGAAAAAGGTGATACAGGGAATTCGTCAATTTCAGGAGGATCTGTATGAAAAGTTCGTCTAGGTGATAACCTTTTCATAGAACTTTCGAAAAAAGTCTAGCATATAACGTGTGGATTGGTGTATATAATTTCCAATTTGTATATATATATATTTATTAGGAACATAATACTTCATTTTTTATATTTTATATTTGAACCGAAAAAGGTTCTGAACATTTTTTTATTTCATTTTTAGATACTACAAATTGGTCGTTTTTTTTTTTACCAGAACGTTCTTTTTCAACAATTCGACTTTTTTCTTTATTTATATACAGTTAATTGATTGGAGTGGAATGTGTCATGAGTATGAATAAGTGGTAAAGTTTCAGAGCTTTAATTATACACAACGTTATTAATAGCTAACAATCCTAGAATAATATCTAATGCATTGGTATAATATTTATTCAAAGAATCATTAGTTGACATTCTCTAAATTTCCTACTTTGAGGATATTGTATTCATCATATTTCAGCAAAAGTTGATTTTGATGATAACAATGTGGCAATATAGGATATGTTCTAGTTTTTTTAGTGTAATTTGTTTCTAGTTGAATTTGTGATTCGCATTCCTTTGTTTACTCATATTTAAATTTTGTTTGCCAATCATGTGAAATTGAGATCTAATCAAAGTTTCTAAAATAGTTTTTTTTTGGAATTATTACTATTATATATAGATAAATATTGATAATATGCGTCAGAAATATCAAAAACAGTGAGATAGTTCTTTTCCAAGGTTTTTGTTCACTTAAAAAAAAAACATTAATGCCTTCTGCATTTTATATGACACCAATAAATGAGTTCTGAAGGCTAAAAATTGTGTTACATATGATCTCATATAAATGATAAGTTTTATTTCCTTCCCTTTTAGAAATGATTCCTGAGCCTTGCTTCCGTATTCAGATTACCATTTATTTCCGTTCTTGTTCTTCTGTGTTTCATTGATAGGATTGTCGACCGCCTTGGCTTGCTTCTATCAGTTTTGCTTTATACTAACAATAGCTTTTTCTCATTTTTTTTTTTAGTATTGCACGATGCACTGGGGGCTGCCGTGATGATCCCCCTATGTGCGAGAGCGCTGCGCAGTCAAAAGCTATGTGCAATTGTTTACTTCTTCTTTTTCCTGCACCTATCACACGGTTTCCTGATCTATGAATGACTCTGCTTTCAATGCCATCTTTGTATGTCTGTTTGTTTTCCTTCACGATGTGAATTGCATTAGCAGAATTGATTCATGAATTTCTATTTTATCTCTGGCAAGAACCACTACAAGGTTGTTCCAGATTTTACAAAAAGTAGGTATGCGTTTGGTGGGTGAATAGGCTCAATGGTAGTTTTTCTTCAGCGTATCTAGACTAAAATGTGTGACTGTTCGGTGAATAAGATAGACTCATAAAATACACTGAGATGAAATGAAAGGGATATAATTTACCCATCTGAAGGGTATAATCGAATAAAATGCAAATGGTTTCCTACATGGGGAGAATACCCCAACAAATGTTAGCCGCTATGCGTAATTGAAACACGAGGTAAAAAGTAAAGTTGATGCTTTGTACTTGATGGTTATTATTTCTATTACTTTATAGGTACTACTTTTTATTAACTTTATTCACTCAGTTTGATTTTATATTTTTAGTAGATAATTTTAGAAGTAAGCTCCCCCTCCCTAATTTTTATCTATATACACAAGCCAAGGATTCAAAATAAACAAATAACCATTTATCTATATAGATATATAAAGGTCTTTGCCCAGTTGCTACAAGGACACAAGAGCCGAGAGGTAGACAACATCACGAAACGGAATACACATCTAGTTACCTTTTCTCTTTTATCTTTTTACGCTTAGCATTAATCTTTACTTATTGAAACACTAGAACATTTTATAATATTTTACATTTTGAAGAATTTAGACGTTTCATTCTAAACTATAAGCACAACAATACGATATCAAACCATATATATATATTTATTTATTCATAGACCAATTCTTTAAACCATAATACGGTGTATTCATAGATTTCCTATCCCATATCTTATAGGGGTGTTTCTTTGGCCCTTTGACTTGGGTTTTCTTTTATCGTATCAATTATCTGCTCAGAGCCTCTTGCTTGAGTGATTTGGTATTTTTTTCGGACATATATTGAGCCTTTTCACTCGAATTACGTACAGGGAGCAGCCTTGGTGTATAAACTTCGTTTAGATTGTTTGTTCCCATTTTCAGCTTCTTCCCACCCACGTCAAAGCATACCCATTATAAAAATCCACGACGAAGTTGTGAAAGTAACCCTCTATGCATCGTCCTTCATTCACGAAGCTGTTAGACCGATGGTGGGGGAGCTTTACTCCACGGTTATTTCGAACGACCGCGTGTTTGTTAGCACCTGCTTCTGCGAACCGAAAGCTGTCGAACGGGCGCTTGGATGGGGCCTCAAAGGTCCCTGTTCGTGAGATGAAAGCTTCGCTGAGGGCGGCAACCACCTCCATGAGTGCCGTCGCCTCCGACGACTTCCACACGATAACAGAAGGAAAGACCGCATCCCGCCTGGAGCGACACCGAAAAGGGGAGATGACAGCCTCCAAGCGTCTTATCACGCCTCCCCTTCCAGACGTGGATTTTTTTTCCTCACGAGATGCTAAGGCTAAACTCGATTCGCTGAATAGCGCCGACGACGCCATGGAAGAAGCTCAATTCAGTTATGAGGTTGATGAAGAGGCGTCGGAGGAGACCTCGAGCGCGAGGAAGCGCACGCAATCCTTACTCCACTCCAGCAAACAGGGCCGCGACAATCAAGTTATGCAGCGTGATTCTACTTCGACTAAAACGAAGAAGGATAATTCATCCTCACTGGAAGGTGAGGTTTCTATAGTTAATACTTTAACCTCAGGATCCGACGCTTCTTTTTTGAATCCGTTTATCGGTCTGCATGCTCATATCTCACGTAGTTACCGCCTTGAGCAGTTTTCCGAGGATATTACCCCAAACGACATGCTGTTCGCCAAACAAGAGAAGAAATCGGCTGCCTTTTCCTTTTTGAAGCTCAAGGCTTCTCAGGAGCTGTATAACGGGCACTGGGGGGCGGCTGCTCAGCTTCAAGCGCAGTTCAGCGCCATTCAGCAGTCTATTTCCTCTTCAACTTCCCTTGGTGAGGGGGCGATGCATACTTTATTTAATAACAACCTCGGTATCGGCAGCCTGCAGATTGCCACAAACTACCCTTTATTTATCGCGCAGCGTTTGCTGCTTTTTCCGGATAGTTTGCGCCATTGGCATACACTTTGTGGCCGAGATCGTGTTCCGTGCGATTTTTTCGCCGATGTCGATCTCCCAGGCGAGAGCGTCGAGGGCGGTGAGCACATCTTGATGGAAATCCTGAACTATTTGGAGGTGCGGCTCCCTGGAATCGGCTTTACCGATCCGTTTTTCCTCATCCTCGCGAACGCGCCCTCACTTGATGATGACGCGCTGATCGGAAGTGGAAAAGTTTCTTTTCACATCCACGCCCGCTCGATGACGTATCAGGAGAACTACCTAGCTCTCGGTGCGAAGGGGTGCTCTCCAATGAAAGAGGGCTCGGGCAATAAAAAAGTAAAACCTTGCCGAAAAAGCTCTACGAAATCGACCGCGGTGAATTCAGCCGACCCCGTGAAGAAGAAGAAGGGGGGGAAGGCGGCGTTATCTTCCAATAGGAATTCCGTCGACAACGACGACTACGACGACCTCTCCGACCTTGTCAACGTGATCGAGGGGGGCAGTTCCACCGCCGCGGTTCTGACCGTCCCGAAGGTGATTGCTTTTGAGGACTACCGCACCGTCCGCCTGCTCGCCGACGAGGTGAATCAAACCCTCGGCAGGGCCGTTATTGACGACAACTGCTACCGCGCGAACGGCATGCTACGCTGCGCCTTCAGTTCGAAGTTGCGCGTCCCTTCTAGCGAGGGAAAGGGAGGGGTAGGGGGGAGGGTGCTGGTCCCCTTAACCACCGCGCGCGACCCCGAGTTGCAGGTGCGGCTGGACGCGATGGTGGCGGGGCTGCGCGGCTTGACGGACCCCGAGATCCTGGAGCGGAGCTTCTGCACCCGTTACCTGAGCGACGCCGAGGGCGCGCGCGAGGTACGACGACATCTCCGCGGGGCCCCTGTCACAGGCCCCCTTTCCTTTCCCTCGTTGGCAGGGGGGAGGGAGGGGGACCTCGTGCGCGCCAGGGCTGGTGCCGCGCGGCATCGCTGGCGGCTGATTCGGCCCCGCCACGTCGCCGGGCCGGAGGCGGGCGAGAGAGGGGGGGGGGTCGCCGTCTTCCTCGCGGAGGCCGCGAAGTGGCGGCGGTACCGGCAGGCGGTGGCCAGGCTGCGCGCGCTGCCCCCGCACG